CACCGCACTGCCAACTAATCCAATTCCGCAGCGAATCTCAATTCCGGCACCTTTGTCCCGATTGGAAAACTTGCATATTGCCAAGGCGAGGGGTTTGTTTCGGGCTCTCGCTTGGCAAGGAGTGCTACACTTTGAGTGCACCTCTTGGCTGATTTGCACGGCATTCTTGTGCCATAAATACTTTGACTATGAGTTGGAACAGCGTGTAGCTCAGGCTTTTTGACAAATGGTTCTTCCTCAAAGTTTAATTTGGAAAACGTGCAGAGATCTGCGAGAATGTCACGTCCAACTTTCAGAGATTTTGGCGTGTGAACTGTGTGTGCCCTTGATCGTGACCTCACCTAAACGGTGGTTAATTCCGAGAGGTGGACAAGAGGAGTGGATTCATTTAGAGGAGACGAAAGACTTGAGCGATCAAGTCGCACGGTTGTGGGGGAGTTTGGTGGGATTGTTCAGCTCCGGAGACCGCTCTCCATCTCACTCTTGCGCACGTGAGGCGCTTTTTTTGGCGCACTGTTGAGCGTCACCCTTCAAAAATCGTTATGGTCTCCTGATCACGGCGCTCACGGTGACTTCTCCCGGTGTAAAACATTTCTCTAATAGCAATAATAAAGAAGCAACTCGTCGATGCACATTATTGCTCTCGCCACCGTTTTCCTGCCTCTTCGCCGTGGGTTGGGTTTTGAGATTTCGCGCGGGGTCTTCCGTTTTGGCACCTTAGAGCCAGAGAGATGATCTGCGCCGGCACAGAAGATTGGTGCGCCATGGGCACTGTTGCAAGAAGATGATTAACCTTCAAGTGTTCTTGCTCTACAAACACTGAAGCAGTGCGCGCGTACATGTCAATGATTAAATTTAATTTAAATTAATTGAACAGTTATTAATAAGTTAATCGTGTGTGTCACATTTCGAGGACGCCACGCAGAATTTCATGAGTGTCTCACAGCTTGGTGATACTGCGTCTGTACGTTGTTGATATACAAGGCATCACATCGTACACAGTGAACAAGATAATGTGTGCAAGAAAGATGTTAAAAGAGAGCGAGTGAGGAGGAAATTGTGTAGAAGAGACGATGTGTCTGCGCCAAGAAGACATCACTCCAAGATGAGGTTCCCGCCAGTCTAGAGACAAAAACCAGAAGCACCTGACCCACACCACAAGAGTCACGTCGCGCTCTCTTTGGATCATCCCATCTCGGCTCCCTCTCTGCGTCCCGCGGCTCGCGATTGCTTAGAATGAGGCACACATCCCACCCCCGAGGAGACACTATATTTTATCGCCCAGTGCGATCGTCACTCTCGTCTGCGATTGAGCCGGGAAAAATACACAATTAGCTCAAAATGTCAACTGTGCCTGAATTCCTCGGATGCCTTTATCACTTCTTGCACACTCGCTCCTCACCCAATTCGCTCTCGGTGCTGTGGATGTAATCGCCGCTTTTCGCACCGCCCAATATCTCTGTTTTCATTTTAATTGAGCTCAAATAAGAATTATTCCACTCCATATGACTTATCTCTCCCTCGAGTGTGTCCCATGCTCAATTGGAGGCATAAATGTGTGGCAGAGGCGCATACAATGTGTGCATCTGTGCCGCTGTGGTGGAGAATTTGAATTGTATGTTGGGTGCTCTGGCTTTATGTAGCCAGTACAAGACACCACACTATAGGCAAGTATAAAAGTCGTATATACATTTCGCTGCCTATAGCAGAGCATACGAGCTGCACGGGAAAAAATGACGTGCACAGCAGTTGCACTGATGGTTCTCGTTTAGTGCACAAAATGGAAGCATTGCAGCATTAAATTTTTTAATGGTTAAGTAAATTTGAAAGTATTTCTGTGCTCTTTGCCTTTATCAATCGACACAATATCAATTTCAGAATTTTTAATTTTTTTTTAAATTACATAATCGTTGCAATATTATTTTTGGTTAAAAAATGATTTATGAGTAAATGTTTTGAATTATTCGTGAAAAATTTACGGTGCGAATAATTATCGTGACGAGAAAGACGCGAGTGTAGTGAAACACTTTAGTCTGACATTAGACCACTTCGGCTCGGTTTTTAACAGTGTGCACTGCGACTCCGCAGTCATCCATCCATCCACAATCCATCGCACAAAACTGGGAGCCAGCACAAAAGTTTAGTTTACAACCGACAGTTGAACTGTTCGCACGCCGTGCCAGCCAAATTGACTGTCTCTCATCATACTCTACACTCCCCTAATTACAGTGCTTCTCCCTCGTGCATTTTTTGCATGTGCACCAGAAGACCCAGACATTTCCCGCACGAGTGAGGAATTAGTGGTGGAATTTACGGAAACTGACTGGGTGATGAGGAGTGATAATGTGCCCAGTGACAAATCAAGCTGACATTCTGTGCCGCAGGGATTGAAGTGAATTGTCGAGACAGGAGATCTTGTGGGAGAGTGCGTAAAAAGTGCCGGGTGGAGATCGTCTCCCGCCGAAAGAGAGAAAAAAAGAAATTGATGTGAGCAAATACATTTCAGCAAATTATGAGTGCTCAGTCTAATTCCATTTGTCATCTCGCGCAATGTTTCTGCATATATCACTCATTCGCGGCTATTTATCACATTATCTCCTTTTTCACACTTGGCGTTCGCTATCCAGAGACACCCACATAGCATCAAACCCCGCGCGATCCTTTCGTCCATCGCGAGTGCCCCATTGGCAGTCTCGCGGGCCGTCTCTCCATCGACCTTATTGTGTGTGCCACCAATTCGCCACGCCACTTGTATAAAAATTGAATTGATGATCTGTGTGTCTCTCTGGTCGATCACTCCTCTTTTTCTCCACTCCGCCAAACCCGGGCGACGCACCAGATAGCAACTGAACTTAAAATAAAAGCCATGTGAAAAATTCGTCACAGATTCACCAGAGATTTGCAGGGAGAAAAAAAGAAGCGCTGCGCCCCAAAAAAATTCGCGGCACAACTGCAGAAGAGAGTCAGAGAATATATTTTGTCCCCCGCGTGCGCTTTCGTACAAGGCAAAGAGAATTCTCAAGTGTGTGCCATGGGTTTCTGAAGGTGGAGAAAAGATGCAATTTCAACACAAGTGATAATGTTTGTCAATGTTCAATCATCTTTCAGCGGAACAAGAAATCCTACGTGAGTTCGTTAGGAAATATGCTGTTTTTCTCGTGACAGAAATACTCGTCTTTTCAAACTAAAATTAAAGACAAGGAGAAGAAACCATCTCAAAAATGTTATTTTGATAAAATACTTTCCCCGTTGTCCACTTGTGATAATTATCTCAACAACTGGGCGTTTATTCCAACGCTGGACTAATATGGACAGATGTCTCAAAATGTGCAATTATGGGGCAATTCAGAGGGATTTGAGGGGTCGGGAAGTGTCTGAAACTGTCTGATGGTGTTTGCCAATGAATTCAACCAAATTCACTTCACAATATGTGCACAGCATAAGAATGAAAAATGTCGCAGAGTTCCAATCACGGGAGACTGTTTGGTGTGTTTAGCAATTATTTATAAGCATGATGATACAATGATGATTAAGAGTCGGAAAATGCTTCGAAAACACCACATGATATAGGTGGATGAGGAGAAAAATTAGAAAAATGCTCGTAATTCTCACTTTTTCAACACTTTGTGTGAATTTTCTACATATTTTTCACACACTCGCACGACGATCATTTGAGAGAGGAAGGAAAAAAGACGATGAAGAAGAGTGAAAAATTATGTGAGATAGAAAAAAAGAAATATGTTGTACAGATATTGAGATAATTCCACACTGAAATTAACTCTCAACTTAATTAAGACACACAAGGTGAAATTGACAAGATCAGGATGAATTCTTTTCACCTTTTGCGCCACCCACGGAGCGGCTTTTCCAGACAACTTATCCAGCGAGAGGAATTTTTGCGCAATTTTCCACACAGTGTGTGCGATGAAGAGATGGAAAATAGATGATTGTTCTTCCGTCATGTAGAGCCAATTAAATGTGTGTTCGTTGGTGTAACTTTTCTCCATGTCGCGAGTCCCGAAGTGAAAATGGGTATAGGAAAAGTGTAAGAAATACACATTCCAAACTATTAACAATCTCTAACTCAACATCCTGTGTCTCACTTTGCGCCTTCTTGAAGCTCCAAGATTTGTTTCATCATTCGTCAATTCTAAATATATTATAGTTGGTGGGATTATTGAGAGAATGAGTGAGATAGTTGAAAAGAGAATCTCCTTTCAACTTCCCAACTGATATTAAAATAAGGAAAATATTTCACTCTCACACGCACTAATGAGATTTAAACATAGAGAAACTCTACACTTCTTTGGCAGAACCAGCCATCACGCACACACGCGGCTTTTCCCCATTTTCAAATTGTACAATATATCTTTGGAAAATTGGATGAAAATGTATATGGAAGAAGTCAGAAGAAATTACAGTCTCTCTCTCTCTCGGTGTATTTCAAGAAAATCATTTTCAACATTGTTGCCAGCCAAACAGAAAAATAGACCAAAAGTCCAATAAAGTCAAAATTACACACTCTCTCTTTCTCCTTCACCATTTTCTCACCGTCTCAATTGATGTGTGAATTTTCATGTTAAAGATTAAAATCCTCTATTTGATTTTTCTTTCGTTTGCGTCCATTTGATGTTTTCCACCGATGGAAATCGAGATCATGTGTCTGATTTAATGGAAAAAGGGAACTTCACGGTGGAGATCGCAAGATCATGTTGTGAGGAAGGAGCGAAAATCTACGACTTTTCCTCATCCATCCGTGCCACTCGTTTCGTCGACATTCAATACATTGTTATGCCGCACTGAAATACACGCAAATGAGACAGTTTCCAACCATAAACTCGGGGTCTTCCATGAAGAAGTTGCACACTATAATCCGTCGATTGTGCACTAAATATCTAAGATTTTGACTTCTCATAGCTCACAAAATACTTGAACTATTTTAGAGAAAACTACACAGCAAGACGTTTTATATTTTCGATGGAGAAAATCAATCTTCTTGGGCGGATTTTTGTAATTAGAGCACTCTGCAAAGCTTGCAGACATTCTAACAGCTCGATCATCGTTGCAGACGAATAACTATCGTATGGTGAAATTAAATTTTTTGATCAGGAAGAATTTTCCGCCAGAGACACAGATAAAGTCGCGATGAAACCTTGCAGAGAGCACTGCATTGGCCACTAATCTCGGGGCTTTGGGCGAGTGTGTGAAAGAGGCACGATGCGAGCGAGACGGCGAGAGAATCGCATTTTTATCGCTTACGCACACAAATCATATAGAATACAGGGGGCTTTTCCTCCTACAGACTTTAGACGGCCGGGTAGTACAATATCGACTACCGACTATGAAGCATCATCGCGAATCGTGCAGTGTGAGCTCACATGAATTTTGAATTTTTCACAAGTTGCACACAGAATATGACACAGTTTGTCAGATAATGAGTCTTTTTCTCTCGATATAGGAAAATACATATAAATATATCATCGAACGAAGTGATCAGATCGACTTTTTTGGGTGTGCATCGAAAGTGTGGAATAATTTCACAAGAATTGAAATTCTTATGATTTATTTCACACATGAGTGAGAAAGCTGAATTGCTGAATTTATATTCACAATTTCATAGGAACAATTCAAATACACACACACACACGCACACACATTTTGATCATTAAACTAAAAAGTGTTATCGGGAAATGAGAATGAGATTGATTTCATGGATGAAGTGTGATTGAAGAAATTTTCTGTGATCTGCTGTAGTGACAAAATAAGCTGCTTCTTGGCGATTTTTCAACGTGTGCAATTTAAGAAAATCCCACAGCGGGACTTTGACTCATCCCGCGAGGTGAAAAGTGTTGCATAAAAGTTCACAAATTCTTAATGACAGTCCCCAATGCAATTGTATGAGTGCGACTTGGAGATTTTCTCACGAATCTCGCCACGAAGAGAGGAGAAAAAAATCATCAGTTGAAGTAATTGTTTTACAATCACTGCAAACTATGTATTTTTTCATCTTTTTTTTTGAGAAAGCACAACAGAAAAATAAGACAGAGGAATATACAACAAAACAACTGTCCAATGTTTAATTGTGAAAAAGAGAGGCAGTAAATAGGAGTGGAAAAAATCTCACTGTCTCGGTTGATTCTCTTTTTTTCTTAAATGTGCCTACTCTCCTCAAGAAATTGGATAAATATACATCGAGTACGAATATATAAATTATAATTCAGCTCAACTTTTCAACAATATAAACCGTGTGAGAAGAGTTACGAGGCAGAGTCACTTCTTCTCATTACAATATTCAGCAGGAACACGGGCAAAAACAGATAAAAACATACAAGAAATACTGTGTCTCCCTCTCTCTCTCTCGTTGGCATTAAATTTTACATACAACCACCCATTTGTCCAAGAAAACTACCTTCAACTACCTTTTCGTCTGTCGCGACTGATTCACTGCACCAAACTTTAGATACACAGTGCGTTCCGCTGTCAGTGCAACGCATACGCACTAGATTTGCATTGAGAATGGAGCAGAGCATGGGCGTAGGCTAAGATCAAGTGAGATTGAGGCAATCCATCACTGATTCTCTAGAGATTCCACACTTTGCAAAAGTTCTGGAAAGTTAGGTTCCAAACACCTGCAATGATTGCAAAATGCTTTAACTCTAGGCGTTCGTAGAGACATTCTTACGGTTAAAGACTTTTATTTCATAGATCGAAAAATATTCAAACAAATTAATTGAGTGGCAATCACTATCTAATCAAGATTCTCTGTGATTTTTTGATACATTGAACATTTGTAGAAATTGTAACTACGCCCATGGCACAGAGTGTATTTTCCTTGGAATATCGGGAAAACTCATGCCCAAGGAGAGTTTAGTAAACTCTCCACGATACAGTTGGAATACATAGGAGATGAAGACGAAAAAACAGTGTCTTGCTATCCAAAAAACTCCGCTCGCGCTCGCCACAGATGAAAAACCCTCCGTGTGTGCGCCTGAAAGTGTGTTGAGATTTTGATATATAAATATAAATTATTTAAAAATAGACATCATCTATATATAATTTCCCTCGACTACAGCACACCGACTCAGAGGCGAAAATAAAAGAAGCTAAGAACTTAAGTCGTCGCCGTCGGAAAAGAGAGGAGTGAAAAGTGCGCGCGCGCGCGCAAGTGTTGAGATTTTACCCCAAAAGAGGCCCATTGCCGTGTATGCTCGAATCTTTGAACCGCACAGCGGATTTTCATCTCAAACTGTGAAAACATAGTCAAGTGCGTGTCAACTTGAATATTGGGAATTTGCGACTGCGGACGAGAATAGTTTTGTGGAAAATCCATCAGCGCGCGACAGACGAGATCTTACTTGACCATAAAAAAGCCATCTTCTGCAGTCTCGGGTGTCTTGAGTGCCAAGCGAGAGCCCCTTTCCACCTTCCCGTTGATGATTCTTCCGACAGACACCTACCCAGTGCCTGAGCAAATAGATTTTCCTTCCTCGCCTCACCCACATGGGAATTCTCATGATTTGACTCATCCTCAGACACGGTGAAGAGCCTCGTGTGCCAAGTCGTCGAAGCAACATAGTGTGAAATGAAGTGTCCTATACGCCGGCACAGATTACACTTCCTGTATTGCGAAAACGGCCGACCGGAAGAGACAGTGAGTGAGCGGTGTAGAGTGCGTGTGGTGAACTAGACTCGCGAGAACCAAGAGGACAGTGCGATAGATTTGCCTTTAGACTTAACAATGAAAAGCCGAGGAAACTCAGCACAGCGGCGACAATTCACGTGCTACCAGTGCTCCAGGGGTGCCCCATAGGCTCCGAGCGGCCCCACCGTCGCGGCGACTTGGGACGCCATGAATGTGCGCGTCCTGCGCAAATGGTGTCTCATGCGAACTCTAATGTACCTGTGGATCGTGGCCTGCACACTGCTAATGGTTGTCTGGTGTGAGGGCGCTTCCGCCATGCACCTCGTGACTCCCACCAGGAATTCCACGCCCTCGTTGGCGCCCCTAGTCAGAGACGCCGATCTCCACCAGCCGCTGCTGAAGCGCCTGATCTCTTCGCGGCTGAAAGTGAGCGCGCCGGCGGACCTCCAGTCAGAAGCCAGTTACCTCAGGAATCGGCGCGAGTCGCGTCTGCGGTCGGGACGCCGCCAGCGGCGTTACTGCTCGGCGCGCGATCCCACGGCGCTCGCCTTCGAGGCACCCACAGTATTTGAGGGCAAGGTGCGCTCCATGAGCTCCGACCGGCGCGCCAACTTCTCCGCCACGTTCGAGGTGAAGGAGATCCACAAGAATCAGTCCACGTTCAAGCTGCCGCCGCTCGTGCGGCTGCAGTTCTCCTTCGGGAATACCAGTGAGTGTGACATCTACCGTGAGAAGTTCCGACCGCGCGGCAACGTGCGCGACGAGCTGGAACAGGGGAAGGTGTACTTTCTGTTCGTGAAGCAAGTGGCCCTGGGCAACTTCACCATCATCGGGCAGCCCATCAAGAAGACCAAGAAGACACTCAGCGAGGTCAAAACTGGAGCTAGCGAAAAATATGGTGAGTCCCTGGCAATTCTCTCATACTTAGCAAATGATCATTATGCATTTCGCGCCGCAACTGCAGCTCATTTTGCTCTATATGTCCTCCACGGGGAGAGTGAGATCAGCGCAGTTCTGTGAAATCATCAGATTTATAGAAACTTGCAAATGTGAGAAATCACAGCTCTTCGTGGAAAAGAAAATTTCTTCATATTTGCACAAGTTCCCAATGCAAGATGCATAGCTTATGGTGAAGGTGAATCATACAATGTTGCATATTGAAGAGGAAAATCGTCACACGACACACTCTAATCAGGGGTTCAGGTAAGGGGTTACCCGGTGTTATTCCGGCAGTTGTAGAAAGTCGAAAAGTTGTGGGCGAGTCAATAGAATTTGTTAATCCCTCAGATTTAAGTCCGCAAGCTGGGATTAGGCAATAGCCTTTCGAGAACTTAAAGTCTCAAATGGGATTTTACATCACATTTGCGTGTACAAATTTTACCATTCACAGATGAGCCTGACGTTTAAATACAATAGTTAGATAGAGATATACATTTAAAGAAACTCAGGTGCGAAAGGAATAAAGGAGATTGGAAACAATGAGTAGAGGAAATATTTGAGAAGATTGTTATTCTTAACTTACATATGTGTATATCCTTGTTGTGATAAACGGCAAATTAAGTGATTTTGAAAAATTACGATTATTATACAATGTCTTAGTAGTTTGAGTAAATTGTAATTTCATCCACATCTCAAATATGTATTTTAAAATAAAAATTTCAATTTTTTAAACAGAACATCTTGAGAAATATTATACTTGAGCTTAATGAAGAAATGAAAATCGTCAAAATAATTTAAATAATACAATCTTTCCTTACTTTATGGTGGTTAGGCTCTTATTCTTCATATCTTCACTCTCTATACACTCTAGTACACTGATATAAATATTCCTTGTTGCCTCTCTTTCTATACTGCACTGATAATCACGAGGAGTCCTATTGAGTTGCAAAAAAAACTTGTCATTTCTTAGGAAATACATATTTCAACAATGATAAGACTTTTTCTCTGGAATAAAAAAATAGGTTAATGGATAAATTCTTTTAGAATCTCATTGTCGTTCTCACGCTCATGAGATACATTTCCAATTTCTACCGACAAGGCGAAATGAGAAAATGTGCCTGACTGGAAGAGAAAGGATTCACAGCATTATTGGGAAATTATAGAAAGCAGATGAGAAGGCATGAGTGTTTATTTGTGCGCACAGTTGAGGCTTAGAGGTGTTTTGGAGCCACTCACGCGACTCTCTGTGAACCTCCACCTTTTCTTTCCCAGCCAATTGATTAATCATCATCAAATAATCTCGCCCGCTGAGAATTTTCCGTATATTTTGCTTTTCACACTAATTTACATGAGTTTTTTTTCTTGCCGCTCTCCCAAGAAATATACTTTAATCTGCTTAATGCTCGCTCTCTGCAAGGAGATTTTCACCGTGTTTTGCAACACGGAGTTCTGACTATGGGTGGTACAATAAAAATTTGTTTGCTCTTCTGCTCCTCCAGCAGAGATCACAGGATTTGGCACACCAAATTCGATTTATCCTCTGTGCTAATCCAAAACTCCCCTCGCATTTGATTCCGCATATAAACGATGGAATATCGTGTAGATTTGTGTGTGATTCTGGGAAAAATGCGTATTTACACCTATTTTTATGTACAATTGAAGAAAAATTGATTGAGAATATCTCCTCTTCGTCTTTGGCTCTCTCAAGCACCGCAATCGCCAATCTATAAATAGTTGGCGCACATTTGTGATCGCATCTCATTGACTCCCACTGTAATTTTTCTCCTCACTTCGGTTCCATATCACACAATATCACCATCGATATGACGGGGAGGCGCGCACATGGGCAAAAAAGAGATGAGAATTGCTAGGCTGAGAATTGATTGAGTATATAAATTTTTGTGAACAATCTCACGTATTTCAGCGGCAGCAATAACAATTTATATGGGCACTATGTTGTCCGGCTGCTGATGAAATAGCTTTCTACAATTCCATTTTTGGTTAAACTGTAACTTACTATACGCTCGTCGGTGGTCAATAAGTAATGTAATGCCTCTTGTGAGTGTCTCATGAGAGAGAGAACTCCATGTGATCGCGCAGCCACACAATCTATCTTACCCACTTTTGCCAAGAAAACATACCTCAACCTCTTCTCCACCGGCTGCTCTCCTCACACTTCTGATTGCGACGAAAAAGGCAGAGGAATTTTCAATTGCAACATGATCGTCATTTTTCATCCTCAAGATCACTGTTTTGACCAATGCGCGATCACCTCCTCTGATGTGCCCCAATAAATGCACTTTGACAGAAAAGACACCCGATCACATGTGACAAATTGCTGGCGTCAGAAATCCCCAGTACATGACACGCAATTAACGATTGCGATGATTCAACTGATGATTGCTAATTATTGCAAACACACGGGCTTGAAGATACATTGTAGTGCGAGATTTTGCCAGTAAATTTGCCGAAATGAGAGAGACATTAGGAGATAAAATGAGGATCACAGTTGGTGGCAAAAGAGTGTTGAAAAGGCCGGAGGGAAAGTCCAGCTGTATTGTGACTCCTCGTGCACTTTCCGGAGGGTTCTGTGATCCAGGACCAATTGGCCGAGCCTCCTGTCCAATCTCATGGTGACAAATTGTGTGAAACACACAAGAAGATCTCCAGTGATTTCAGGAAAAAAAACCTTCGGCACACTATTAGATGGGTATTAATAATGATGGTCTAAAGGTGGTCAGGACATGCGACAAGGGTCTCAAAAGTCCCCGGCACCGTCGCAGTCCCACAAAAGATGACAGGGACGAAAATGGGAGAGAAAGGAGCGGCACCAAGAGAGAAAAAGTTATCAATTCATTTCCGCTTTTTGCCATCGCATACACACAGCCAAGGAGAAAGACATTTGGTGCCTGTGAAATAAATAAATATGTGAGTGAAAAGGAAAAGAGCCTCACAATAGGAGTACGTGTGCAAAACGATGGGTAGCAGTTTAGTTTTAGTCACACACAACATAAATAAACAGATTGGGATATTTAGTGGCAATTCAGTGATTTGTCATCTGCAACAAAATAAGCCACACACACATAGTTTTTTCTGCTTGCTCCATTTCAATACAAGGTGAGAAATTCTCTGAAAAATCACTACAATCGAGATGGATATTCTTTGAAGTGGAAATATAAACATTTACAGATAATTTTCACCAATGATCCTCACACATTTTGCGCAAATTCTCCGCACTCCGTCTCAATGTGATCGCCTTTGGCTGTTTAGCCCAATAATTTCAGGAAACTCAATCACATTGAGTCAATATTCGATGTTTGCTGTGTAAATTTTTACTCCGTTGTAATGCTATAATCTCACTTGAGAAACTTTCTATTGGAAAAACTTGCAGGTATTCTTGCTTATCGATAAGAATATACAATTACAGTGAGTCTTTTAAGCCAGCTAATGTAGATTAAAAAAGCCATCTTTTCCTTCTTGGACGACCAATAAACGTCCCAACAAAGTGAAAAGTCAAAAAGTATGGAAATAATTCACCGATAATTTGTGTCTCACATGATAAAGTCATTCTTTTTAGTTTGCAAATTCGATAATTTAGTTTGCACGCAACGATGTGTCCAATTTGCGGTTTTTCTCAACATCGACTTCAACCGATCTACTTATCATTTGGGTGTAATTTTACCAATTTGTTTACATTATGGGATATTTAAAGATAAAAAAGGCCTCTTTCAATTTGGCATTTCTTTCTCGCCTCTGGCATTTTGTACACAATGTACGAAATTGCAACCTTGACCCCATCGAGAGCAAATTTTCACGATCATTAATTTCCACTCCAGAATAACTCATCGGCACTAAGCATAATAGTGTGCATGTGTTCAATCAATTGGCAAAATGAGAGGTGAAAAATCTCGTAATGGGAGGGATTTCAGAGATCAAAACCCCAAATTTTCACACACCATGTCTAAATTCACAAAAATAGAACATGGAGAGATGGTTTTGTTGCTAGATCACTTCTCACTTGATCAATTTATTGATGGGGATTTCGTCAGACACGCTGCAAAGGGCGCTGGTTGAGCTGAATTGAGGCATATGCAGTTGAATTTTGCGTGGATTGTAAAATTTTGCTCAAACTACGCATCATCGGGATATTTTATGCACACAGCGTTGTCGGATGAACACATGAAAATCACACGGAGACGATTTTCAGGCACACGTTCAGCATTAAGCGCGGTCTTTGGATGAGATTACATATATTACACACATATTTTTCGTACCCATAAAATCCCAATTTATGATCCACATGGAACACAAATTAATCTCCTCTCCCAATTAATCCCTCTAATGCTCTAAATTTACCCGTTTAATCGTTTGTTTTTACTTTTCACTCAATTAGTGGAAAAAATGGGAAGAAAAGATCACACGGGGAACTTTACTGGCACGTGTGAAAACTTTGGTGATTTACGGCACAAGTTTTATTAAAAATCCACTAGTGGTCTTTCGCTTTATCTCAATGACATCAGTCGCAGTGGCAAATTGTGTAATGCTCTGATTGAAGAGAAGTATTCAGGCCTCCAAAACGTTCGTGATTTTGTGTGTGACTCCCTTGACAAACACGACATGTTGTGAATTTTAAGTCTATCGTGAGTCACTTATTGAGATTTTCTCTCGCTTGTGCACAGAAATTTGAAGAAGAAATGATGAAAAATTGCTACAATGTTTCACAATTTCTGCGCTGTGTGATCATTCGTAATTTTTATCTGTCCTACAAAATTTTTCACACACAAAATCCGCCATTTGTGCGATTTTTCCAATGACAAACTCCTTCTGTTCTTGCGATTGTGTCATCGTATTCATCATACATAAGAGCGGATTTAGAGAGAAAATCTGAGTGATTTGATCACTGAAATGACACATGGAGAAAAGAGAATTACATTTGCTCTTCAGCCTTTGGCACGTGAG